CTATGTCTGGATATAAGGCAATGAGAGTTTCAAGCGCATCTGCGTAACCGATCAATAAAACGCAGAGCATCACAAACATGGCATACTTCGCCCTGAATTACTTTCCAGTTCATTTCCAGTAGAATGCAGGGAGGGATCGACAGCGGAGGTACTTTAAAATGATATCAGCGATAAATGAGAGCCTACCGTGGGTAGAACTCACGAAGAGACGGTACCAGCTGTAACGCCAACCATGGCCGAATCTGCAAATGGCATGACATTCAAAGACAAAGCCATTGCACAGACGACGGACCTAGAATCGTAGGGCCATCAAACCCGTGTTCCGCAGGATATGGGAAAGATTCGCGAGTGAAGGTACTAAGGCCCGATCAGACGTAGGCAAAGTGTGCGAAGTAAAACGCACGGGAATGTATTAATGATAGCATCGACCAAGGCCTGGTGGAAAACCTTGGTCAAAAGAGGCTCCCCTGTCGTCACGTCCTCTCTAATCCTTCTTTCCTCCGACTCCCTGCTGGATTTGGCATTCGATGAGATAGCCGTGAATCGCTGCCGAAACTGTTCACACTCTTGTCGAAAACGATCCTGGATGCCATTGCTTATCAGAAGGTTCAGCGCATTGGCATCCAGACCCTCGTTGATCAGTAAAGCATCGCTCTTCCTAGAGAAGTGTCAATCGACGGGCAAAGTCGAGCTGCTCAATATAATACACACAGGTAATTGCGCAACTGGATGTTCGTTAAGGATTGGTTTCTCATAGGTTCGGCATTGAGCATGCCTGGCTGAAATGCGACGGTCATAAACCCTTGGGTCGTCTCACCATACAACAACTCAGGCTTCGGCGGTTCGACGTCAGCCGTTCCATCTTGATAAGGTTGGGGCATAGTTATATGCTTGGACGTAGCCTATAGATACGACTCTAAGTACTCAGCCAGTGATAACGATGGATCGGACTAACCTTGAATCCCGGGCGTGACTTTACAGCCTCCTCCTGCTCATTTGTTTTTGCGACTTCAAACGTAAATAGCCTGCTGGACTCATCGTGGTCTTCGTCCAGATCCATGATGGCGTCTTCGGCTTCCTGGTCATTCCATACGATCGATCGAGCATGCTCTGGGGAAATGAATGCTGTGACCTGATCACACATTTTCATGAGGTATCTAGCGTTTTCGTCAGGAGCAGTGCCTAAACAAAGAAAGACTTGACGGACCTCATGAAGGTCACGCGGTTGCGTTTCACAGACGAAGGAGCCGAGTCGTCCCACGTCGAATCCTCCGGCCAGTAAATGAGGAAAAGCTGCTGGTCAGGTGTAGCCTCGCAAGCTGCACGGACAATGTACAGTCCAGAACGAAGACTCGGCATTGAAACACTGGAATCACTTTGGTTCGTGATGAGTTGTTTTGCGCTGCAGGAGAAAGTTTATCAAGGTGTCGATCTGAATACTGGTATTAATCTCACATTTCTTCGTTGACGACACCCAGAGACGACAGGAGTCGCACAATTTCACTCTTACTTCCATACACACCAACAGGCTTCACGATGAAGCGGTCTAGCGCGCTGAAGTTGACTTTCGTCATGGACACGTATGTGCCCGGACAAACACTGTTGATAAATGCACGGAGTGAATCTTGCGCTATAATAACCTTGTCCACTAGAACTAAAAGTTAGCGGAAGGCATGGCTTGCCAAGGACAATGAAGATACCTAGCCCACCACTCCCTTGTTCATTGATCAAATCCAAGACCCGATACATCCCATCAATCGACTGGACAAGGTCGCGAGCATCATTATGCGGCCCGGGAGAGGAATCTTCCACGTCCATCTGAATCAGAACGTGAGAACTCCCGCCCACATCATGATGACCGCAAGCTTATAGGAAGTGAACCTACAAAGTCTTCTCCATCATCGGACCTTACTGATTGATAGAGGTCGTCGTCCGAATCCTCAGACATGATGGTAGAGTCCGTCGTATCTGATCGAACACTTTTCGACGCTGGGAGTACTTGTGATGCCACGGGCTCATCATCATCGTCCATCTCGTCGATCATGATCGATGGTGCAGATGAACGGGAATATGAGCCCTGGGCAAAACGATCCCGACTGTTATCACCGATACCGACTGGTCGATCTGTGCAGATTATGAATGATAGCTTCCCTGGACATGGCGCTCACTGACCGACTCCTTTTCCCTTGTCTAGTCTCTGCTTGAAGGGCTGTTTGTCTTGAAGAGTGCTACTGGCACTGAGTGGGAACAGTTCTGGTGGTACATACGATCCGTCCATGATGATGGATGAATATGAAGAACAGAGAACCTGGTATCGCCCAACTTTATAGTTGGTATTGCCAAGTGTCTTGGTCTAGGCTTACTTAGCGCCTCAGCCACCGAACCTCGAGGTAATAACCCTAGCCCAGGACGCTCATACTAGGTTAGCTCATTGTGATATGTAACGATCTACAACTCGTGTCTTCGAAATATGATGATGAACAGGGCATCGGAGAGTGCACGGGATATGAACGTTTGAATCACAACACTCGAGTTGTTTAACCATCCTCAAGGACGGTGGCGATAGCTAGCACTGGCAGTGCACTCAACTGGCAGTAGCTATAGCTGGCCTGTTGGTCGAGTAACATGTGTAGTATTATAAGACGACGTCAACCGTGCGAAACTTACAGACCCCTCGCTACAGGAACTCCGGAGATTAATGGGAAGAGGCACGCATTCAATGATAGTATTATTAGCTAGCGGGACAGTCGATTGGTCTCCACCTTGCGAATGGCCAACCAGTGGGCCATTGATCCATTGAAATCCTTTCCTTTCCTCTATTCTTCTGAATCAAGTTCTCACAATTGTAAAGTTGCCATTGGCTCTCGATGATTTTTGCTTAGTCAGAAACTTATCCTCTATCAATGTTACCCAGCCTCCCAAGCGTGATCGCCTGTCCTCTTCGCTACTAGCTATATGGACGTCAGAAATGATCATGATACAACATTGGCTATGTAGTAAAGATACAGCACAATAGCCTCACCACCTCATACCTATCAATCGCCTTGCAAAAGCTCCACCGCACGATCTTGCTCACGGCGCGACTTTGGCGGCTTCACCACCAGGTCTGCTTGTTGCCTGAAAACTCAGATTAGAGAGAGCGAGAGTCGCATGCCTCCCGTAGACACTCACAAACGCATCCGCAACAGTAGCTTGCGGTTGGTGCTTTGTATCTCACCAGCAGTCTTTATGGCACGCGCGAACAACTCGGCCCTATGATCCACCTTCCTCGCTTTTAGGATCTATAGCGTGCGTGAATGGACGGTGTCAGTAATCCACGACCGCCAAGAAATTTTCACTAGCCTTGTTCTGGCTGTCAACTCGGCCTTGGATCTGGCCGCTTTGAATGAGCGCAACTACCTCCTTCTCAACCTCGTCGACGGTCCAGCCGAATGCGGCGCTCATTCTGTCGAGGCGAATGGTCTGGAATGGTTGGAAGTAAAGCACGACCGCGACATTGCGAATGAGGTTCGTCAGGTCATATACATGTGAGTACATATGAATGTCCACGTAATGGCGCGTCTGGTCCAAGAAAGACAATTGAGGATTATAGATATTGATGGATAGATATATATAAAACATACCGAGTACCGCTCAAGAAGCTCCAGGACGTTTTTGAAATCACTTGAGAGATATGACTGAGTCAAGTCTCGGACGTATGGTTCTTGCTCGATGTATGCAGAGAAAATAGCATTTCCCGTAAGTTGAGACTTGATTGCGGATCGCGACATGCTGGCAAGAGCGCATAGAGTCCCATATACGGCAAAGTCACCAGGAGCGACAAGCTAAAAGAGCATAAGCAAAGGTTGGCTGGATAGAGAATCTCGCCTGCCTTGCCAATCCAATCGCCAAGAGAATCCGGAGGGCCGATCTTTAGGAATAGTTGGGCAGCTTTCTCGTAGTTGGCTTGACCTAGGTGGAACAAGGCCATCGCAAAGTCCAGCTTAGATTGTACCTGGTCACGCTCTGCTGACTTTTTAGGTGGCGCGGCAGCTGAGTTGTTGTTGGAACCGGCAGCAGCATTGGCTGCTGCTGCTGCTGCACTTGCCGTATCAAGTGCACCCTCCGCCTTAAAGACGTAGGAAGATATGTGTGCGTAATTGCGTTGCTCGATCACAAGCTATAGGAGACATGAATGACCAGATAGTAATAGCAATGCAATAGAAAGTACCTCTAGCACAGAAAGACACATGTCAAGAATGTGCTGGCTTGTTGAGCAGAACTCTCTTGATTTCGTATAATGTTTGAGTGCTTGGGTATAGTCTCCAGTGGCGCGGTAGAAATCACCGAGGTCCCTGTGGCCCATCTGATGTCGAGATGATATTTAGAGGCTCTGAAGGAATCAAGATGGTGACCGTACCCTTATGCTCTCTTTAATCATGTTGTTAGAATAGGTCTTCAGCTCAACCTCTAGCTTCGCTCTCTCCGCTTGATTCTTTTTCGCAACCTCTTCGCACCATACGGTGTTCACAGAGCACAGCTCGCTAGTGGAAGGTAGCTGCACCTCTGGCAGGTCCGCCACATTATCATATGCATTCATCACGGTCTGATAAAGGGTTGGATCGCGAAGCTCCTCGATCTGGGCGAACGCCAACTTCAACGCCTGTGGTGCCAAAGTGGGACATGTTGAGATAATGTGGACAAGCCTGTCAAATGCAGTGCGACCTTGAAGAGTGGGAAGCGTCAATCTAAGCACTACATCAAGAGGGGTGTGTCATATCATACCAGAGTATCCTGAAATGTATGCATCTAGATCGAAAGGATGAGCATCATCCACTGGTCGAATTCGTCTCCTCTGGACTGCAGGAGGTTGTAATAGGGAGACTTCGTTCTCAATATAATCAATTTCCATGCTTAAGACGCTTGGGTAGGAAAGAGAGGTGGTCAAGTGTCAATTGCAGGTTCTGGCATGCGACAATGATTCGACGAGTATAGAATTGAGTAGGTGATGGAACAGTCGCGGGCCCTTGGCACAGTTGGTAGCGCGTACGCTTCGCAACCGTGAATGCGTAAGGTCGTGGGTTCAACTCCCACAGTGTCCATCCTTTTTACACATCGCAGCTGAAGGACATGATGTAGGTTTCTTCGTGATCGTTAGTGACGACGCGCTCGGGAGTCAGCAACGTTTAACGCGTTGAGGCACTTGTTTCTGTCATGTTCTCAACGCATATCTCCGTCTTTCGTCGCGCTAAGACATGCTCGTCGTGCTAATAGTTCTACTACCGATGAGCGCACGGTGCAGAGTTACTCGACTCTCTTCATCAAGTCTCGACTTGAAGACTTCTTCATCGCTGTCAAATATATTATCTCCCCCAACCCCAACTCACGCTTCACAAATGCTCATTCCGCCAGCATCCGACCCCCTTCTTCATTTCCTCGCATCAGCTTAACAATGGAAGGCGTGCAAGAGCAGAGCGCATCGTCTCCCGTCTCCTCCTTTATATTCACGCCTTCACCCGTGCACCGCTGCTGCCTATCCTCCGCCACGCTTTCATCACCGCTTCCCCTGCTGTCAAGTGCATATCATAGAAACGCTCAGGGAAGAACGTTGTGAGATCTGCCGCGCTTACAGAAAAATAGCGCATAAGGGCTGGTGTTCATGCTGTATTGGCCGCCAGCAAAAATAAGAGTGGGAAGATGGCGGAGGAGCGTTTAGCCCAATAGATCATTGCTGTTGTTAACGGAGACAGCAAAGCTATTACTGACAAGGAGTTGGCACAAACAAGCTATGGTCAATAGGTATGTACAACGTTGACGTTGGGTAACTCGCATTGACACATTGCGCAGAGGCAACGCCCTCGTGAAGTGAGGATCTCGTATGTTTACCGTATTTTCCTCCTTCCTGTAATGTGCCGCCGAATTCAATGCAATCTAATCGCGTGGTTCCCCATCTGCTTTAATATGATGCAGCGAATACTACATCGCCATTTTCAGCACTTCTGACTTGGTACCGCGCAGAAGCGCTCTCCGGGAGTTTGCTTCTAAGGGAAGTTCTTCCAGACGCCTTGTTACACATTCCCTTCTCAGACAAGCCGGCTGGTCCACGAGACTAGTGTTTTCGTTTCAACGCTCGGACTCCCGGAGTAACTTAGCCTTAAAATTCGAGGCTCGACGCCACTAGCGGTTCTTTGTCCCCCGAGTCAACTGCTATCGATTAGTACTAGGACAGAATATAAAAATGGGCCGTGGTCCAGGACACGCAGACATGTCGCAATCCGTGTTCTAGAACAATCTCTTCCGACTTGGTTCTGGTAGTTTGCACATTCACGGCAATGGTAGGCCGGTAGAGTCTTTGCTTGTCACTGTCTGAGGCGATAACTTGACACTGAAGTAACCGAGTTTTTGTTGAGCGTTCACGTTAGAACTTGAACTTCTGGACCTGGTGTCTCGATATTTCAAAGAAAGGCGTGAAATAGAAAGAGTAATACTAGCTACTCAAATCTTTTCCAGGCGTGCTTCTCAAACTCTTTCAGCTTCGCTCGCCTGGTTGGGCTATAGGGTAAAGGACGTCAAAAACTGCGCTAAGACATATCGCGAATACTCACAGGACGGGGACACGAGGCTCAATGAGGGCTCTTTGCTGCATGCTCGTAAAGCGATCACGGAATAAGTTGCCTTCGGGCTGATGGGAGTCTATCAGCGATGTTGATAAAACCGGCGCAGTCAACACACCTTCAGCGTTCGTAAGTTTTCGCTCAGGTCCTCCCCAATCTGAACCTCGATTTCATTTTCAGGAACTTTATATTTCCCTAGCCGTTGGCCAGCTAAGCCCTTTCTGAGCTTCATCTTCAGCGCCAACTGCCTTGCCAATCGCGCTTGATTTTGTTGTTGGCCAACTTTCTCCGCAGTTGAGCGGAGAGATTTAGCCATTGTTATCGTGGCAAGCATCTTTTTTCTTGCCGCTTTTTCTGCCAAGGCTTGTTTCTAGTGCAAGCTCAGCGGCGATGGTAAGGGAGAAACAAAAGACTTACCTCCTCGCGCAATCGCAGCGCCTTTGCTCGTTGCTGTTTAGTTTTACGTGCCGATGGTTTCTTGGATACAACTGCATCGTGCTGTGCGACTGGTTCACAGTCGTCTGCGGGTATCTCGTCCAATGTCATTCCAAGTGGAAGGCCCTCTGTGACATTTGTAGCAAGTGCGCGTGCATCGGCAACCTTGCGTCGAACTTCGGCTAAACGATCTGCTTCTTCTTGTCTACGTCGTTCCACTCTGCATGCCTCCATAATAAGCTCATCGTGTGCTGCAGCAGGTGGATTGTATGATGATCCCTGATGTGGCTCCAACACAGCGGGGACTTCTATGACATCGCGAGGATGAGATAACTCCGGGCGCTGTAAATATCATCAGCAAATCCCCGATTGCAGGGAAGAAAGCCTTGCCTTGATCTTGGGTTTCTTCGTATGCTCTAACCCATCAGCCAATTCTTCCACCTCTTCGGCAGTCCATGGGTCATAAGAGCCGCTATGTTTCACAGCAGCGCTGACATCGATTAAAGCACTCCCTGCACCAAACTCTGTATGGTCCATGACCGCATTGAATGGACCCTTTCTGGGCCGCTTTGCAATGCGAAGAAGGCGCTCCTTGTCAGCCCTGCTGACTTTTGATCGTGATGGTACAGAGTCTTTTGTTGGGCGAGAAAACACAGCAGGAATAGCAGATCGCTTGGGAAAGTATTTTCGTGGAAGTCAACTCGGCCTTGGAGTACCGCGGCAACGACTTGCGGACTAGACAGTTTAATACTTTGTTACCTAGAAATATCTCGCAAGAACCTACCTTTATCATCTCCTTTAGTGTCCACGACAAATAATTGATCGTCTGTCTGTTTCTGTAGTGTGGAACTGTCAAAAGTCGATACACGCGATTAGACGGCAGATACAGGCAAGCCACGGATTTTCCACACCCGATGACTCGCTCCTCTGAACGCAGACTCTCCAAACCCTGTTCCACAGGCTGTATGTCAATGTTTTTCCGCCATGCCTTCTTGCCCTTACGGCTTGATTGAGCAAGTTGGGAGGGTGCTCCGACACCGGACGCAGCGTGTTTTTGGATAGAAGATTTTGAAGCCGAAGAGACCTTGCCAGTTTTCGTTGGAGCCATGGGTAGCGGCAACCTCCCTGTTGTCCTATCTAGTGAGTCTGATGAAGCAATGATGAAGTTCTTCAAACTATAGTCACGCGTCACGACATGTCACAGTCAACTTAACATTCGAACTTGGCGGCCACTGCGGTTTTGCGGCCATAGTAGTACTACCATGACATATATCAGCGCTTGTACTACTTGATGTAGACGTCTTCCGACCATGATTCGTATTTGTCCACAGTTTCGATGAGACTAGCTGCCTTAGCTCTCCCTACGCTGAGTGCAAACCTGTGCAATGGAAGTCTCATTGGTGCTTCATCCAGGTGAATAAGCTTCTCCATGACCACCACCGCCTTATCAGGGTCTCCGTCCCCTGCGTTTCTAGACGCCCACTCGCGGAATTTTGATCCGGGTAATCTGGGTTGGTATATGCTGGATGCTGAACACTAGGTTGTACTGCGTCGTCTCCAGTGAGCCCCCTAGTCCGGAACGGACCTGGCTCTATTATGGTAATCTGACAGGCATTAGCTTGAATTTCACATTGAGCATAGTCTGACTCAACCTGTATGTCCCACGCTGGGTCCAGTTCTTGTGCGATGCTTTCGCTAAATCCTTCCAATGCTGGAGGGCCTGTTTAAGCTTATACTATGGTGTTCAACAAATAAGCTCACCATGTTTACTGTTGTCGGAAGTAGCCATTGGGTGAGTGTTGAAATCACGCATGGGCGCGCTCACTCACGATGCTGAATAATAAGACATCGCAGGTCTCCCAGCCAAACCAAGCAAAGAAGAAACCTGCAATAGTCTTCCCCCAATGGGTCTATTCACCTCCCTAAACATCCGAATGGCCTCCCTCGTCACGTTTGATGCACCCCAAAAGTTCACTTCGACGATCCTGCGGGCCTCTTCGTCGCTCAAGGACTCCATCTCTCCGATAATAGTCATTCCTGCGTTATTGAACACAACATCAACACGTCCGAATACCTCTTTAGCTTTTGCGAATGCAGCAGCCACCTCCGAGCTCTTTACGACGTCCATCTGGACGATCAGTAATTGGGAAGACGGGTACAGTTCGGCGAGCTCAGACAAGGCTTCTTTGCGGCGTAGAGTTGCAACCACTTTGTTTCCGTTGTTCAACAGGAGTTTTGTCATGGAGCGGCCAAACCCTGAGGACGATCCAGTAACTTTGTATTGTCTCATGAATTCTCGTTTCTCTATTTGAAAATATCGCGAACTTACCTAGCCAGACCTTTGATTCTGTCATGGTTTTGTTCTGGAGTATGGGGGATGCAAGCGACAAAGTACCACTCTCAAACAATCAGACTGTGATTTGAGATCATAACAACGGGGTCTCTCGAAGTCTCTCGATCAGCGTCATGCATGTGATTAATCAGTTCTCAGTCAGCATGACAACCGTTAGCTTTTTCAAGTTACATGGACCATCAGCAGGGAACAGCCAGTCGAAGGAAGGAGGAACGATCATCATGAATCAGGTACGCAGGCTCCTGTGTACTGTATCCGAGACAGCGGGAAGACGTCGCGATTCTAGGACTGAGACCATCGGACACAGGGCGCTACGGGCCGGCTATACTATGTGAAGGAGACATTTTCCGACCATGATTCGTATCTGTCCATGGTATCAGTGAGGTTCTTTGCCTTATCTCCCGCCGCTCTGATTGTGCCCCTGTGGAACGGAAGTCTCAGTGGTGGCTCATCCAGGTGAGTAACCCTCTCAATGGTTGCCACCGCCTTCTCAGTATCTCCGTCCGCTAGAGTCGAAGTCATCCACTCGCGGAATTTCGAACCGGCTAACTCTGGGTTGGTATATGCTGGATGTTGAGGACCAGGTTGTATATTGTCCGTGAACATTCTCGTCGGGAATGGACCTGGCTCAAGTATGGTAAGGCCTCAGGCCTCTTGTTCATGATGCTGAGATGTGTATATTGCACATTGTTCTCCCCCA